TGCTGAGGGACACAGGTGAGTTGCATGAGCTGATTACCTGAGGATCTGTGAAGGGGTGGGGAGCAGGGCTGTGACAAGGCTGAGGAAAAGAGCTGCTAAAAACACGAGATGAAATAAAACAAAAACAAAACTAAAACTTGACCTAAAACTATAACAGATCACAGCAGACTGGTAAAAACAAATCCAGTCCCTGCAGCTGTTAATGCACCTTTCTGTCTGCTCCTGATTTAATTTTTTTTATTTTGTCCATATTTATTACTCAAATGGGATATCAAATGTACGGAGCCCGCGAGGGGACATRGGAGGAAAAAAACGGATCCTGACTTACTTTCTCAGGATCCAGAGWAAGAAAGTCAGGATCCTGAGAAAGTTTCTTAGGATCCTGACAAAGAAAGTCAGGATCCTGAGAAAGAAAGTCGGGATCCTGAGAAACTTTCTCAGTATACTGACTTACTTAAATGAATGTTATTAGAGGTTATCAGTCCCACACATTGTGTCCAAACAGTCTCTCCTCTACCTCCTAGAAGCTTGAAAGGCACTTATCAATCATTTTATGGCTGATATGCATTAAGGCGAAGTGGGTTTATCTCCTCACCTGGGACGTGGGCTAGCCCGGCTCACGGTTCTACTTTGAACTTCATTACCCACAACCACCCAGCGTAACCGGATGTTTACATTTTCCCTGACAACGGGGTAGTTTGGTAAAGCTAGTCAGCTGCCTTCTCAGGTTTATATCTCAAAAAGTGCTGAATGGATTTATGTAAAACTTTCAGGAAATGTTTATTACTCTTTAAAAATGTTTATTACACCACAGAGAACAGTTTATTAAAGTTTGAAATGACATAGAGCACAAGCGGGCGCACGGCTCCGATCGGGTTGTCATGCCGCAAACAAAGCACTCAAGTCGGTGACATTTTGGCTGCTTAGAGGTCTTGTCCAGCGGTTCTCGGATGTTTATTCTCTTTCCTGGACAACAGAAGAGAGGACAGGAGGGCGGAGGTGGCTAACACAGAGGTTGCGCCTGACTTTTTTGCTGTCCTTCATTTTGACTGACAGGGTAAAAAAAAAATATGTCATGATCAATTTTTACCCATCACATCCTTTTTTAAATGTTAATGACTAAACAATCAATAGAATGTGGCTATTGTCATGTTGGTTTTTGCAGTTTTGCCTTAGATGCGGCGCCTGCAGGATTTTATTGGAGAAAAACATCAGCTCACCTCACACTACATGCCACACGAGCGCATGGCGCTGAAAAACAGTACATCTGTCCCACACCAGGCACAACGCGCACAATGTGACACACACACACACACTGCCCCACTTTTGACTCAGTTATCTTACAAAAAGTCAAATAAGAAAATAAAAAAAATCTACGAACATTATTTAATGGCTACAGTTTGCAACATTAGATAATGCCTCTTGATTTCTGTCTCTGCCTCCTCTGCAGGAGGACGAGACAGGAGGGGAAGGCACAAAGGCAGAGATGCAGTCAGCCGTTAATCACAATGCGCCGTTGCCACTGTGCTAAAAAAATATTATTGAATAAAAACAGAAAACGAGTATGGATTTGATTTATACAATAAAATAAAATCTCAAGGTACGCACAGTCTATCTGCAGGCACCAGTGGTTCTGAAGACTAAACCCACACTCTGCTGCGACACTGTTGTAATAACAAGCGCCACTTCAGCCAAAGTTTTAAGATCAGAAAACATTTCTCCAGCCAAAGAGACCAGATGTCAGCAAGACTTTATTTTCAGATCCCACAAGCTGTCGCATAGCAAGAGGAAATGACGCAGCATGCCCTTGCGCTGTGCCTCAGCTGTGCCTCAGACGCGCTCCAAAGCCTCCTGTCCTCAATGCGCTGTCAGCTCCTGGAGATGCATTCAGTATGGTGTCTAGATCTGAGATGATGATCAGATGGGAATCTTTTATTTATTTTATTTTTTAGATTAAATAAGACCTCCGTGATGTAGACCTACTCCGTGCGTGAAGCTGAAAATGTCTCTGTGTGAGTGTGATGCCATGGAGCTTGCTGTCTTGTCATCATTGAAATTTTTTTCTCCACCTCACCTGGCTTATTTAGGTCAGGGGTGTTAATTGCAGTCTGTCRAAATTACGGACAGCCTTCTGATTTCTCCTTTACCATGTAAAAAGACCTGTCAAATATGGAAAATATTCCGTTAAAACAACCTCTGAGGCTAACCTCCATTGCAGGTCTCTTTTGCCTATAAAATATGAAAATAAAATAAAAGAAATCCGCCTCAGATTTTGATTAAACTTTCAGGGGAATCCATTATTTCCTTCACAAACCTCATATCCATATCCACCCAGTCTTTTGATCTTTTGTTTGCAAAATGTTTTACAATATTCACTATCTCTTCTTTGTCACTTCCCTCAAGAAAAACACTGTTGGTACAACCCATTACTGAATGACTTACATTTTTATCCACTTTTGGTATTGTAGCTGCAAGACTTTGGCCAACATTCACAAAATAATGATTAAATATATGTAGCTGTACTAAATATATATATATTTTCCTCTCTATCATGGTAGAATAAACATTATTCATTAGGGATGGGTAATTTTTACATTTGAATCGATTCGGTACCAATATCCGGTACCTGGGAATCAGCACCAGTACTTTACGGTACCAATTTTTGGTACTTTGTGTGTGTTGCTTTTTTAATAATAATTATGACCCCTGCACGCGAAGCATAAGCGGAAGTCATATTGTTTTCGTGTTATTTATAATGACCCCCCGCACGCGAAGCGTGAGCAGGAGTCATATTATTTTCGTACTTGTTTTCAGTGATTTTTTGGTCAAAAACTATTAAACATAGAAGCTTCAGATTTCTTTTGTTGTTTAGCTCTGACGAAGCTCTATCCATCAGGTCCACCAATCAGTGTCCCCCACCCCCCAGACCCCCAATTTATCTTAAAAAGTGGGTGTCTGGACATGCAAAAATGCTTATAACTCAGAAASTGTTCAACATAGGAGCTTCAGATTTATTTTGTTGTTTAGCTCTGATGAAGCTGTATCCATCAAGTCCACCAATCAGTGCCCCCACCCCCCAGACCCCCAATTTATCTGAAAAAGGGGGTGTCTGGACATGCAAAAATAGTTATTGCTCAAAAACGATTAAACATAGGAGCTTCAGATTTTCTTTGGTTGTTTAGCTCTGATGAGGGGCTATCCATCAGGTCAACCAATGCCCCCCCCCCCCCCCCCCAAAAAAAAAGACCCCTACCCAGAGCTTGAGCTTGTGTGGTGGGTCATGCCATGTTGTGGTCATGTCCCTGGCTGTGATATTCGTCTTTTGGCAAATGGGTCGAATTCCCCAGCTCAGATGGCTGCGTCGAACAAAATTCACGAGTGGTTCAGACCTGTCGAATATTTTACGAACAGTCAGTCTGCTGTTATCCAGACAGATTTTCCTCCCTGATAAATTTATATTTTGTTAGTTTGAAGATTTTTTTGAGTTGAAAATAAATCACACTCCATAATTATGTTGACAATAGGCTATTCTGTTTGAATTAGAGTTATAATTTTAAATGTAATAATTTAGACTAACAATATAAATGGTCCGTCCGGCCGGCTTATCTGGGATCGGGTCGCAGGGGCAGCAGCAGAGAGACCCAGACATCCCTCTCCCCAGCGACACCTTCCAGCTCGTCCTGGGGAACTCCGAGACGTTCCCAGGCCAGAGGGGATACATAATCCCTCCAGCGACTCCTAGATTTTCTCCAAAGTTCCAGACATATATTGAAAACATTTTAAAATGCTTATTTCAGAACTGCAACTGAGACCACTTGAGACCGCGCGGGGGGTGAGAGGTGGGGCGTACGGTGTGCGACGGTGGGGCTTCTGAATAAATGAAAATGATTTAACACAGTTGTTTATACTTTAGCAGCCCCTTTTATTCCACAGCTGACCTGCTAAAAATGACAGATTTTCTTTTCTGGATCTCTGAGAGCAGGACTTCAGTCTCTGAACTCAGAAAGTTCTTTTTATTTTTCGCTGTCATTTTTCATGAATGGACACTTCCTTGTATCAGATGTAGGAAACATAGCCTTATATGGTGTTTTTGGGGTGGTAATTATGCTAATCTCCTCTCGCGTGCACGAGCAGCTGGATACGAACAGGTGAATTTACGCAGCTCATTTACACACTTTTCCTGAAGATAGAAGAGTTTGTTGAATCTGATGTGACATGTTCGTACRAACCCTTCATACGAACAAAAGTAAGAGAAATTTAGGATAAGAAYACGAACATGTTCTTGCATGAGGCCCATTGTCTCTGATTATCAAATGCATATAAACTCTTTGTTAAAAGAAAAATAAATCAAAATAATGAAGATTCTTCTGTTTATCATCTGATTAAGAAAAAGTGAATGTCTCTTTAAGATTAAGATGACCTGTTATGGCCTAAATTCAGTTTAACTGGAACAGAGTTCTGTCTGTCTTAAAGGGGCCTGTCAGAGGCCTGGGGTCAAAGACAGTTTTATTGTGTATTCCACATGAGGTTACCACTACAATTTCAAACTTTAAAAAATATTTGGAATGGCAATAAGATATTAAATAGTAAAAAAATCTTGGTAGTTAAATCATTTCCTTTATTTTGTTGAACATTTTACATCACATCTGAAGAGAAATAACGTATATTTTAACACATTTTTAAAAACGTTCAAATGAAAAATTAATATGATCATTGTAGCACTAATCCTAATCTCCATCTGATGAGGGTTTCAGATTAGATGTTTTGACAAATAATGTTTATTTTCGTTTTGAGATTATGTTCATCTTGAACTCATTATTATCATCATCATCATCACTTAGTGATCAGCAGTCACCACAGAGGCATTAACATCAGCCTTGACAAAACCTTTGTCAGATCAAAAGTGTTGTGAACAGCTGCTCCAATTTCAATGTCTCACTGTTCAGTTTCATCTCCAACGTAAAAAAAAAAAAACAGATTTCTTTCTGTTTATTCCACAGCTCCTTCTGAGGTGTTGGCCATCCGACAGGAAAACACCAGTCAGAACAGCGTGACTCTGCTGTGGCATGAACCTAACCAGCCCAACGGAGTCATCCTGGAGTACGACATCAAATACCACGAGAAGGTACTCATCTAAATGAAGGAACAAATGTMTTTTTTTAATCAGCAAAATAAAAGGTAAAGCTAAGATTGACAAATCAAATCTTAGGTTTGGAAAAGCTCTCATCGTTGGAGTCCTAACTGGGCACAACCTGCTCAACCATCACCAAATGGTGATGGGACTCCATGACAATGGAGTTATGCCTGTGGCATTGAATTAGAGACCTCTTTGCACTACTTAGGCCACTACCTAGCTCTGGGTAGTCAAAGGAAAAGAATTCTTGGGGACCCCTCTATGGATTCCGAGAAGCTCAGAACACTGAAAGTTTCTAAACTTGTGTCCTTCATCCAAGGGAAGCAAAGGTTTGAATAAAGATCAAGTGTCATCTTGGGGAGAGCAATGAGCCCACTTACGAGGCCCCCACTCATATGAATTCTATATCCATCCCCTCTAACATTAACCACACCAAAACAAAAAATGTAGCTAATGTAGCTTAAAACTGCAGAACAACTGAAATTAGCAAAATTTCACTAGCTAAAGCAGAATGTTGGAACCTAGAAGCCCATGTTTATGTTTCACATTTATAAGTGAATAATAATGACCCAAAACAATGTGTGTGTTATGATTTGTTTATTTGACATGCAAAGTGTTGTTTTGTCGGCATCCGTATCTGTGTACTTTTTGGTGAATTAATTTTTGTTTTAAGAAAGATACTGAAAAACAAAAACAGATGTTTTTTCTATTCTATTTTATACTCCAAAAAAGGGATAATATCCGTATTTTTACATTTGTTAAACTTTTTCTTTCACCTCTCCCTCCTGCCTGCTCTGTTATCTGCAGCCCCCCCCCCCCCCCCCCCCCCCCCCC